CCACCAAGTCAACTGCTCACAAGAGTTGGAGGGAAGAGAGTAATCCTATCTCAAACCTCTAACTCAAAAGCGGAGCAGGGCTGCCATTGAATAAATTGGTCTAAAGTGGTTTTGAAGGGGGAAGAGACCAAGTTTGTGGCCCAATCCTTGAGGGAGAATGGAAAATTCAAAGGATAGGATTAGGGTCATAAAATGAAAATGAGAACTTGATTCAGGGCTGGATGGAGGCAAGACAGGAGAGAGAGCAAGCTGGCTCATATCTGAAGCTACTCTTTGATTCTGAAATATGACCACCTAGTCTTTGAGAAAGCCTCTAGGATGCTCCAAAGTAAATATCATGTCAGACTACCCTAATTTATTCTCAAAATGTGATGAGAATCCATAGTGGTTTGTACATGGCAGTAAATGACAAACAGAAACCACAGTTTATGTATGCAGATTAACCACAAAGTCTCTTAAACCCAACACAGAAAATGAAGTCCAATATAGGGTTAGGTGTCAGACGTGATTAGCATATGGAAGATGAGAGTCGTAGAAAGTCACTAATGGAAGAGACCTACCTCAGGGACCCTGCCTCATTATTTCCCACCTCATGTCACTTTCCACAGAGCCCCAGAGCCATCTTTCTAATGCCTTTCTCTCCATTTCATCTCTCAGTGTGGAATCATCCAGAGGCTCTCATAGAATTAGATCCAAATCCCCCTTAAGTCTTACATACTAATGGAGGAACGTGCATCACCAAATAGATGTAAAATTACTACTGTGATATGTGCTTTGAAGAAGAAACGCATGGTGTTGTTGGAGTATACAATAAAATCTTACTGGGCATGGAGGTCAGGGAAGGCTTCCCCAGTGAAGTGACAATTGAGCTGAGATCTGAGGGATTAATGTGTTAATTAAGTGAAGACAAGAAGGACGAACGTCCAGGCAACAAGACCAGGGGCAGGAGAAAGCACAGAGAGTAAAAGACTACTGTCCTATCTGGAGAGCAAGGTGGGCATGATAAGAGATAAGAGAGGGAATCAGAAAACCAGTAGATTGCTTTTAGCCAGAGGTGGGGGTTGCAGAAGGAGTGTGAGGAGGGTGGATATGATCAGATTACCATTTTGAGATCATCCTAGCTGCAATGAGAAAACAAGATCAAAAGGGATCCAGGTAGACCAGAAAGTATATACAACTATAGCCCAGGAAAGAGATAACTGTATCTTGAATCAAAGTGATGTATATGGAGATGGTCAGACAAAACTGGTGGTACCTGATGACGGACTGGATATGGGTGGGGGAGAAGGAGGTGTCATGGATGCCTTCTGGATCTCTGGCTTCTGCAACTAGAAGGATAATGACATCATGCACAGAGACAGGCAACACTGGAACAAGACCAGGTGTGAGTGGAGGTGGGGAGGTTCTGCTTGGCTATTTTCTCTCCTGCCTCCAGCACAATCACACTGTTGCATTTTTTCACAACAGGTTTCTCAGCCCCCATTTTATGGTTCATCATCAGCGACGTGTTCACAGCTCCTCACATGTAAAGCGCTAGTTTAAGCAGTAAAGCTCTTGCCCATGCAGGTCCCTCTTCCCGGAATGTCCCTCCTTACTGGTTAACTCCCTTCTCATCCTCTGAAACCCAGCTTAGACATCCAAGCATCCTTCGCTCTCCCAGGTACTCTTTCACTCTTTTTTATACTCACAATAATCTCAATTTGAAATTTTCTATTTTGTGCAGTAGACTCTAAGCTCCTCTGAATCAGGAAATGGGACTTACATTCATATTTGTACCCCCAGAGGCTGGCACAGCATTTGACATACAGTTGATACACCACAACACCACAACTCTCTTCTCATCTACCGATGAAGAAAAACAGGGTATGGAGCAACGCTATGACTTTCTCGGAGTTACTACTGGATCATGACAGAGTCAGGACTAGAACTCAGGTTTCCTTGCTCAAAGCAGTAGTCATCTCCCCATACCTCACACTGTACTTTCTGCCTGTGGCTGCTACCCTGATGTTAGTTAAGGGCTGCAAGCACTGTTTGTTGTTGTTGGGGTTTCTCATTAGTCACGGAGTGAAATTAGTGAAAGAATAGCTTGAACCATTATCTGGGAATCAAGAAAATGAGAACTGTGAACTGCAACTCTCCAACGAGCCAGCAATTCTGGTGTCAAATCATGAACTTTGTACCACTTGGAGATTCTATAAAAGCTTGAAGGAGAAGGATTATTTGGTAAGTGGGAGGAAGGAAGCCATGATTTTTTTGCAGCAAATCATTTGTGTCTCTTTGAACTTGCAAAATGAGGATAGGAAGAAGAAAAGCAACGTAATTGTAACTGTGATAGGGTCAGAAAGGTAGTGGCCAACCATTCTTTCAAAGGACTCTGCTGGAGGCAAGACTTCAGTGGCACTGCTTCCTGGGAATGGACAGTTGTGGAGTTATAAGGGGCCCAATCCATGGAAGCCATACTTAGAGGTACTACTAGTGCTACTGCTGGGAGTGCAGAGGGTACAGGTTTTTCTTTCTCATACCCAGAAGAACCTGCCTTTTTTTTTGGTTTGAAAATCCTAAATTTCTGCACACTTTGTGGCTAAGCATGCATATATACTAGACCATTATACAATAGTGAAAATTCGTCTTCCAAGGTATCAAAGTATAATTTTCAAAAAGTTAAAAAAATAATTCTCATACAAACGTGTAGTGAGCACATATTAAAGATGTATTTAACTCGTTAATAAGGAGACAGGCAAGATGGCAAAGCTGGTTCAAAGGCACATAAACAAAATTTACGCAACTCCAGTCAGTGAAAAAAAAAAGAATGCTGGAAGGAGATTGCTAAATTAGATACAAAATTAATGTTCCACAGAACAATAAAATCATAATCTTCAGAGTTATCATCTCTGCTGGACACAAATCATTTTCATGTATCATCTCTACTGGACACAAACCATTTGTACCCTCTCAGTTTTCTGCATGTTAACACCAAATTTTACCGTGTCTAGGCCCTAATCAATAGTCAATAATAATCAAAGTTACACCCCCATAGAGTCAGATAGGTCATGTTAGATACTAAAAAGATACATAGTTTTTCTTTTGCCTGGTTTCTAAGTTTTGGATAAATTTTCCTAACAAAAGGTTCACAGGAGGGGAAATAATACATCCATTGGTATTCCAAGATATCCAAAGTGTGTCTTGAGTGACTGAGGGAAGTGGGGGTGGTAGGGGAGAGAAGAAGGAAAACGGATCCAGGCTCCAGAGACTATTGTTTTAAAATCTTCTAACTGATTGTGGAGGCTTCCCCTGCCCAGAAAACAATAAACCCCGCCTTGAGCATTTTGACCTCAGGTCTCTTGCTAATGGAGATTGGAATAATGCCCTTCTTCACCTATTTCAGCTGCTGGTTAAGCTCTATAAACTGCAGAGGCATTTCATCAGGTTGGCTGGTTCATTCACTCATTATAGTTCACTTCATTCATTCATTCATGTCCCAGGCACTGTGTTAGGTGCTGGTGATATAGCCAAGAATACAGAAACACAGTTTCTGCCCTCAGGGAATTTATATTCTGATGGTGGCTGAGATAAGCAAGAAAAGAGTAAACAAATCCACAGAATATTAATGAATTGTGAGAGTGGTATCAATAAAGGAAGTAAACCGCATTCTGTGATGGAGAACAGTAAGTGGGCCGGCTTTGAGTAGGTTGATTATTGAGACCTCTCTGAAGAGGCAGCAATCAAACAGAAGCCTGAAGGTGCCAGCCATGGGCAGAGCCAGGGGAGAGCTGTTTCAGCACTGGAAACCTCAAGTGCACAGACCATGAGGCTGAAGAGTGCTTTGTGTGTTCCAGAACATACCTGAAGTCCAGTGAGCGTGAGAGTGGGAAGCAAGGCAGAGAGTGACATGAGGAAAGACTGGTGAGGGGGATGGAGACAAGATCACAAAACTCTCTGCAGAACATAGTAACAAATTTTGATTTTCTTCTAAAAACAACAGTAAGCCATTAAATAGTTTTGTGCAGTGGAGCAACTCGATTTGTATTTAAAATTATCATTCTAAGTGCTACATAGAGAATGGATTATGGGGAGCAAGGATTAAAATAGGAAGACCATTTGGGAGTTCACTGTGGTAGCCCAGGCAAGATATGATAAGGCCTAAACCAACATAATGACTGTAGAGATGATGAACAGTGGATGGTTTTGAGATGTACTGTGAAGGTAGGAGCACTGTGGGCCTCGCTGTTGAATGTGGAAGATAAGAAAAGGAGGAATCAAGAATGACTCCTAGGCTTACGCAATGGTACAAAAGCACTATTTACTGAGATGGGTAAGATGGAGGGTTGGGGTATCGGGGGAGGCAGAACTGAGATGATTTGGGCAGGGAGTAATCAAGAATTCCATTTTGGACTTATTAACTTTCCAAGTCTGAGCAGACTGTGCACGTTCAGGTTGAGATGTCAAGTAAGCAATTGGATATGAGTCTGGAATTAAGGTAAGAGGTCTGGGCTTGAAGTATCAGTTAGAGTCTCAGAATGTGAAAGATATGTAAGTCTCAGAGAATAGATGCAATTCCCAAGGGTAAAAGTGCAGAGAGACAAGAGGGCCCCGATCTGAGGGACACGTATTCATATGTAAGAGCTAAATAAACAGTATAAAAGGTTCAACATTTCCATGTCCCACCTAACTTTTATTGAAACCACCCAACCATATCACGATTTAGTCTTTTTCCACTGTGGGACATTCTTAGTCACTGCCGTAAATCTGATTTGTGTGTTACTAGATGCAATGACTGTCAGGTTATTCCAACTAGGTACATCTCAGAAATGTTCTGCATCTCTCACTTGACATCACTGAATTCCGAAGAAAATAATACAGAAATATTATTTTCCTTCTCAGTGGGCTTCTAAACACCTTTCTGGAACTCTCTTTCTTGTCCTTCAAGAGCTCTCCCAAAGAGAGGAGGTAAGGAATGTAAGGATACAGGTGAGAAGAGTGGAAGGGAAACTATTCCTTACCTCTTCTTCTTCAAGTAGAATGAGCCGAACCACAACAATGTGAATTGCATTGCCAATGCTTGGGTTATGGAACAACCCAGTGACCTAGAGTCAGAAATAGAAAACCATTAGCCCACATGAATAGATAATAGATAAATGCCAGAGGAGGGAAAAACAGCATTGTGAGGCACTTAAAATAAATGTTATCTTATAGGTCAGGAATTTTTGGTGGAGTGCAAGGAAGAGTGAGATATGCCCCTGGCCCAATCCACACTATGACATTTAAAGACAACCTTTCCAAGGTGATGTACTGGCTGTGCGCTTGAGGGATTGGTGCCTTTCTTCTCTTTGACCCTTTCCCTGACCCAGGGTCTTCCTCTCTCTTATTATCAGTTACTCATGCAAGTATCTTTCCCCATCTCAATAGGACTAACACTCTCTGCAAAGGCAGAAAACATTAACAATGCAAAAGGGAAGCTTGAAATTAGGGGTCATTAACTTTATTCCAAGTCTAGCTCTACCTACCTTGAGGAAGTCATGTTCTAGTTCTTTCCCTCAGTTTACCCATTTGAGCACTAACATAAATAGGTGAGATAAAGTCATACTAAAAAGATTAAGTCACTTGATAAATAACTAGTAGAAAATGTAAATGACAAATTACAAATTTTCCTAGGATACACATTTTTAGGAGAAACACTAATTTGTCCTGAAATTCCATCCTTAAATACTTTGGCAGCGAATAGATTCATATATATGTGTTAAAAGGACAAAAAAAGGTCTCTCCTATTTTTGGAGAGTGGAGCATTTCTAAGGATATCTGTTCTCCAGCTGCCCCTCCCCCATGCACTCCAACATACCATGTTCATGATGGTGAGGATATAGGACTCCACGTTCTCGCTCCCATGGTACTCAATCATCTTCGTGTCAGCGACCACCAGCGTCTCCACCCACCTCTCTTTGCTGATAGAGCGCCGAGAGAGGCTTCTGCTTCGCAAGGTGTTCCTCTCCCACTTCTCTCGCTGTAGTTCTAGCTTCTGGGAGGTGCCAAGACTATCTAAACGTTAAACAGAAGATAGTGGGCTAATTCTATATATCTCTCATCTATTACTCACTGATGTTTGTAATCATAGATCACTTTGCTCTTGTGACGAGTGCCAAAAGAAGAGACTCTGCAGTTTGCTTTTTTCTAGTAAAAGTCAGAATGATATAATTCTTGTTATGAACCAAAGGACGGATTTTATCTATTACCAAATAAAATGAATTTGCCACTGTAATCTCTTAGCTCAGAGCTCTGTGTTTCATTTAATTTTCTTCTGCCTGGGTCAGCCTGCCATTTTGGACAGCATCTCCCTGAGGGGGAAGCCTTTCTTTACAAGGAAGACCGGGCACAGTGTCTCAGTCATCTGGGTAACTCAAGACTCAGCACTGAGCCCAGCATCTTTTTTTTTTTTTTTTTGTGAGGAAGATCAGCCCTGAGCTAACATCCATGCTAATCCTCCTCTTTTTGCTGAGGAAGACTGGCCCTGGGCTAACATCTGTGCCCATCTTCCTCCACTTTATATGGGACGCTGCCACAGCATGGCTTGACAAGCGGTGCCTCGGTGCACACCCGGGATCCGAACCCGCGCCACCAGCAGCAGAGTGCGCGCATTTAACCGCTACGCCACGGGGACGGCCCCAGCCCAGCATCTTTTAACATGCAATAAATATTTGCCGAATGAGTATATGGACTCGTTCACTTAATATTTATTTGGGGGGTCGGGGTGGTGTACAGAGCAGTAAACAAAACAGAAAAAAAATAGTATTCACATTTAGTGAATCTAATCAGAATTTTGTCACTCATTCATCAAACATAAGCCCCTTTGGGCCTGACTTTGGGCCAGTAACAAAGATGAGTACTCTAGAGAAGCTGGAAGTAGATCAACAACCCAAAGGGCTCATTTGGGCTCCACTAGACTCATTAATTTGTAAATGCTGAGCTGTTCTTAAATAGGTGACTGAAGAGAAAGGCAACATGGGGAGTGACAGGACACTGAGGCCTTCCTAGGCCTGGTGACAGGTTCCAAAGTCACCCTGGGCCTCCCTCACACAGGATGGGCCCGGCTGAGGAGCAGATGCTGGTGAAGGACCATGTCAGGATCTGGCAGGCTCCTGAGGTCCCCTTCATGTAGTCTCTCCTCCTTGCTCTGGGGAGGAATTACCTACCTGAACGAGAGTGAGTATTTCAAACGCTGAAGGAGTCAGCGACCAGAAGACGAGCGATTATCTGGAAAGTTCTAGCAGGAGGGTCTTGGGGCAAGAGAAACTCACTCACAGAGAGAACTAGAGGCCAACTCTGCAGAGCCAGGGCCACGATCCAAGACACCCAAGGCCACAGCTGATGGTCAGGGACTGGTTCTGCTGGGAGATCTGAATCCCACAAGTACTGAACTCATCCTTTCCCAACCTTTCTTGAGGGCCCCCTTCACCCATGCAAGGAACGTGTCATTCAACATTAAGGCTTAAGAGCTATCATGTTAACTTTATTTATTTATTATTTATGTCATTTATTTCTCCTTCCCAGCCTCTACACTTTTCTCAGCCCAGTTACCCACCTCCAACTCCCAACCCCCAATGTAGAATGCTAACAGCAAACATGCACATATGTCAAAATTGGGCAAGTTTGTTTCCTAAAGGAAACACTATTCTGGAGTAGGTGCTCTCCTGCCTCTAGCGGACAAGGGAACCCACAAAAGAACAAGACATTCCCATTTCAGCTCTGAAATTTCTTGGAAGTTCATTAGAGAAAGTGAGATTGCAGGTAATATTTTCTATGTTACTGTTATAGTTGGAAAAATAAGCTTTAGAAATATAGTGAAGACCCTTTATTTTTATTTTCTTCACCACACTTTTATAATTTAATAGCAGCACTTTTCTGAGTTTCTTCCCTAATTCTCTTGTTAACGTCCGGCCTTTTAACCTAGTAACCAAAAGCTATTCACGCCAACCATCTAAATGCTCCCCTAGCAACAGCAATCACATAATAACTTACATAATTACCGAGAAATATAAAGCTACCCAATTTGTCTATTCATCCATTTCCTGGTTCTCCAAAGGCAGAGAAATAGACCTGGGGGGAAATGGAAAATCGAGGAGGAAAAAAGGAATTACTCCCTCTAAGTAATAAGCCAGCCATTCTTCTATGAAGGTATGTGGCTGGTAAAGGGCTTTGAAAATATGAGCCAGCATTTCCATTAATGAACTTGAGATACAAGAAGTATAAAAGGAGACAATGAACGTGGCCAGATAAACGCACTTCCTGGGGCAATGGAAAGAACACCGTGGTCCACAGAAGCACAGAACAATACACAGCCCCAGCCACATGTAGCCATCGAGCACTTGAAATCTGCCAAGTCGAAACTGAAATGTGCTGTGACTGTAAAAGGCACCCTGGATTTCAAAGAGTTGGTATGAAAAAAAAAAGAATGTAAACTATCACATTAACGATTTATGTTGATTACATATTGAAATAATAATATTCTGCATACTTTGGGCTAAGTAAATTATTACAGTTAATTTCGCCTGTTTCTTTTTATTTTTCTCTTTTTTTTCCCTTGGCTGCTAGAAAACCGAGAATTACACATGTGACTTGCATTTGTGGCTCACATAATGTTTTTATTGCATAGCACTTGTTTAGAGCTCAAGGTTCTTGGATATTAATCCAGGGTCTCCTGATTATTTGCTGTTTTATCTAAAGTCTGACTCACAGAATTGCCGTAAGGAAGGAAAAAATTAGAATGTGAGATGAGGGTCAAGCACACTAACTGCCACGTACCAGAGCCCCAATAAGTGTTATTTTGTCTTCTTCAGTCCTATCTGCAGCTAAAGATCTGATGTTCGTGACAGGTCGAAACCCTAGTTCCTCTCACTTTCAGTTAAGGTTTATGGAATTCCACTGACCAGGGAGAGCCATGACTTGAACCAGCCTGGCTGCCTCATCCCTGCCCTTGCCTTGTAAAATATCTTAGTTCCTCACCCACTAGAGCAAATGACAAGGAAAGAGCACTCAGAAGCAAGTAATTTTTGCCTATCGTGTTTCCATATTCTTTTTTTAGTGGGGGGTGGAGAGAGAGATCAGTAAGTTTTGACACTGAGATTTATTCTAAAAAGTAACTTCCTGTCCATCAACAGAAGAATAGATAAACAAAATGCAGTATATACATACAATAGAATATTATTAAGCCCTAAAAAAGGAAGGGCATTCTGAAATGTGTTACAACATGAATGAAACTTGAGGACATTATGTTAAGTGAAATAGCCAATCATAGGAGGACAAATACTATATGACTCCACTAATATGAGGCACCTAGAGTAGTCAGATTCATAGAGACAGATAACAGAATGGTAGTTGCCAAGGGCTGGCAGGGGAGGGAAATTATGAAGAGTTATTGTTTGACTGGTACAGAGTTTCAGTTTGGGAAGTTGAAAAAGTTTGGTACAGAGTTTCAGTCTGGGAAGATGAAAAAAGTTCTGGAGATGAATAGATAGTGGTGATGGTTACATGACAATGTGAATGTACTTAAGGCCACTGAAATGTACTCTTAAATTAGTTTAAATGGTGCATTTTATGTTGTATAGATTTTACCACAATTTAAAAAATGAATTTAAAAAAAAGAGTAACTTCCATGGTAGATGGTGGATGTTGAAGAGAATACAGATCTCCTGCACCTTCTATTTCTACACCAGTAAGTCCCACAGTGACTTTTACGTTCCTAAAGAGACTCAATCACCAACCACTGTTTCAGTCACTAAAGAGTGCTTATGAAGGCATTAACATTTCAACAAATGGGGTTATCAAAGCAAGACTTTTCTAAATAAGCTTCAATTAACATTTTAATTAGCCACAAATTCCATTTCCAAAACATTCCAGTGAAATGAAGTATGACAATAACATTAATTGGAAGTTCTTTCCCTGGACCTCTTCCTGACCTTTGACTACAGCCTGGCTGATCCTGCCCTCTGTACCTTTCTCCTCCTGTCTGGAGGCTACAATCCACCCATCAATGCTGACAAGCCAGCCTTTGCTTATCCTGTATGCCTCAGCCCACTTCTGCTGTCTTGAGGCCATTAGAGTTCCCTGGGCAGCTCTTTTGGGCTTAATGTTGTCAACTTGAGATATTGTCCTCTATGGGTTTGCTTGTCTTTTTGCACTATACATATCAAGTGTCTAAATGGTGCTCTCTAATCCTCCACCTAACTCCTCGTTTGTTAGCCTAAGAAGGCAGCTCTCATCGCACATCTACCACATATAATTCCTCTCTGAGTGTCACTTTAGGTCTCCTGGCTTTAGAGACAGGGGCTCTGAATTTTCTCTTCTCAAAATTGGGGTAGGAATTCCATATACTTAAATGGTAATAGTTAATTAGGCATAAGGTATTGTGCACACATTCAGAACCTGCCAGGCCCACCCTAGCCTCTCTGGGGACAGAAAAAGCATAAACTATAGTTCTTAGCCTCAAGATGCTCTCTCATTTACTGGAGAAGAAAAAAACCAACAGAAAGAAACAATCATACAAACGATAAATGATTAAATGTCGCTAAGTGATGACAGGAGTTTCGAAGGAAAAGAGATGAAGGAAAGCTGGATTCAACGAGCACCTGCTATTTTCCAGTCCCCATGCCAGCCCTGACATGACAGAGATGAATAAAATCAACTTTACTTCCATGCAGGCACTCTGTCTCGTTAGCAGATGGAACAGAAGTACTTCTCAAGGTAGTAAGTGGGTCTTTTGGGGTGGGAAGAATGTAACCAGACAGAGGAGAGAGTAGAGCAGCTGGGGTAAGCAAGATGAACAAAAGTGAGGAGAGAAGGACCGATCCTGTAGCCTTTTGAGAATTCAGAATGGCCTGGATAACTCCAAACTGCCTAATCCTAAATTATTTTCATTTGCCGAGCGATTAGGGGACATCAGCTCTCCTTCATAATTACGTTATACTTTGTTTATTAAAATGAGCTTGTATTTCTGAACCTATACAAACTGAGATGGCAGGAGGAATCTGGAGAGTCTGCAAAAA